ATCCCCTTCCCCCTTCTTCCACCTCTACGCTTTTGCCCCTAAATCCATTCCATGTGAAAATCCAGGACGCGTCACTTGCTTTGACTAAACCTAAGATTCCTAAGAAGCGAGAGTTCCTCTTCCTGTGACTTTGCAAGACATTGAGATGGGCCTAATTCCCTTATTCAACCCCACATGGCTTTCAACAATTTTGGCACAATCATCCACCTAGGGAAAAGTGTGAATCCATTGTATTCGCTTAGCTGCGGTGAGGGAATACAAATAAAAATAGAACTGAGCTCTCTCCTTGTCCATCACTGCTTCAAGCGTCGAACGAAAATGAAAACAATGACGAAGTGAACTGGAAAAAAAGTTGACCTCGACTCAAAAGAATCTGTTCATAGAAACATTTAATTCACGTTTTCATATGTGTAAGTCGATACCTTTTAGGGTGGGGAGATGCTTTGTCCCGTTTAGGGCAGCCCTTTGTCAGTGGCCTTCTGGCATCCGTGGAGGAATACAATGAACATGGACGCGCACGTAACAGTAGGATTTGTGACCAGCTTGACTCAAGATTCAGCGCAGTAAAAATATTTTGGTCGAGTGAACCTCCATCAACTTAAAATACACTCTTGCCTCGTCACGCCTAAAGTTGATGTTTTGTTTTCCAGCCATAATTTCAGCTGGGAGGCGGAGTGAAGTCTCAACATTCGTTACGATGGGCCTATGTGCTTAAACCTTATCCTAGGCCTCATTGCTTAACTTATGAGGTGGCAGTGGATCTGGACATGGGACTTGCATCGGCGAAGTGAGCACATAGTTTAAAGCCAATGTGCATCAATTGAATCTAAAGCCCATTTCAGTTTTTGCATTCACTTGCTTGGGGCTTCATCTATCTGGTGGACAACTGCTTTTATCAAATCGGTTACATGGATGCGGAAGTGACTCATCCACTTGTAGCATTTTCAAACATGGGCGACGTAATTTTCCTCTATTTTACTTCCTAGACGTGAAATGAAGAGAACGTGCCATGGAAAGACTGATGTGAATGTTACAGTAATTACTTTTGTCACTTATTTCAGCATACATCTCTTGGTCAATTTCCTAAGTTCTAAGTTTGTTTAGGGGCAGCTTATCTACTCCTGAGATGCAATATGTGCAAAAGAAAATTTTCTATGGAGGGGGTTGGATCATAAGAGGACAAGTTCATGTGGCACTCTTTGTAAGGTAAGGCAGTACAATGTGGCGAAACTGCATATTGGGCATATTCCAATATAGTGATATCATTTTAATTATTTGGATGAGAATGGATGACCTCTTTATTATGGCCCACAGTGGCTTGTTCACATGGAAGAGGTCATACTTGTTGCTGAGGTTCATTATGGTTCAGTTCACTTATGTACAAATGACTGTGGAGAGATTAAAAGTGAATAAATAAATTCCTGGCCACCAGCTGTGGTAGCCACGAAGTCCACTTGCCCAACCAATGTACCTTATGTTGTGTCCACCTGTCTAGGCAGGTGTCCACTGGACCTATGAAGTACCCAGTTTGCATGTACCATAGGAAAATCATGCATCATGATCACACAAATTCATTTATGAGTGATTCTATCTATTATAACCTAGTTTGTATCTTAGCAGGAGTTATATCCCGTTTATGACAGGGATTTTCCATGATGCCTTCATTGACATGACCAAGAAACTATTATGTTTATTTCCTTATCCTATTCTTGGATAGTCCTGTACACATCATGTTATATCTGCTCAAATATAAAGGTTCACAGCACAGCTCCATGTCCTTCTTTGGAACCATTTATTGATAGATGCTAAGATCTAAGTCAGATGGTGAAGCAGGCAAATCAGATTTAGGCAGTTCTGACTACTGATCCTTAAAAAATAGAAGCAGCTTGAGGCCATAGATAGGATTGCACCCTTAGTTCAATTGGAACATTTAGCATGTTGATATGAATGTCTGTAAGAAGGGATGCAGAATGAAGCAGCTCACCCTCTTTTAGTGGTGGAATATTACAGTCTGGCAAATGTGCCCAACGTTTATGCAATTATGACACGTCTCACTGGTAGCATTACAAGGGTCCCATGTGTCTCACTTGCAACTTCCTTTGGTCTCTTGTCTCACTGGCACTAACTCCCCACATGAAAATTCCATATATTATGGGGTGTGTGATCCTATATGGTCATGCATGATCATATGTTTGCCATATATTACCATACAAGGTCTGAAAATAAAATAAGACTGACAACACTGTAATCCGTGTGGCAACCCTGAGTTTCTGGTGATTGCTGTAACCTGTCTGTGCATGTCTTAAGTCTCTGCAGTAACAAACTTGTTGTGATACTTCTAGTGATTGCAGAGCAATACCACTTTACCTAAGGTAGTGTCAGGGGCACTCATAAAAAAATGGGTGATAATATTATAAACAAAGACTTCAGTTGGTTTTTTCCTGAGTTTGATTAGAAATTTCACATTGATTCTTTGTTCATAATATTACCACCCATTTTTTTGACGAGTGCCCCTAACACTACCTTAGGTAAAGTGGTACTGCTCTGCAATCATTTGAAATATCACAAGTTTGTTACTACAGAGACTTAAGACATGCACTGACAGGTTACAGCAATCGCCATCAACCCAGTGTTGTCAGTCTCGTTATTTTATTGTCAGACCTTGTATATATTAACAATTGTATGGTGTATAATATATTTTGCCTGCATTGCAATATTAAGTGTAATGGGCAAATAGCATTATGTCTGATATGTGGTGAATATCCATAGATAAGTCTTATGGTTGTGAGTAAAACATAGCATGAGGTCAGTGGTGTATTTTGGCTGAAGAGTCAGGGGGGACAGGGCAGCAAAGTGGGGGCACCAACCCCTGTCCCAAGGATGCCAGGGGGCAGCCTGTAAAATATGCCACTGCATGAGGTTGTTACCCATGAGGGCAATTGACCTTCAGATGCCTCTGTAACTAACTTTTAATGCACCCATTATATTTTACATGAAATATTAGCTATATATAGCCTTTAAAGTAATTTGCAAAAAGTTTGATTTCAAACCCCCCCCCCCCGGCTTAAAATCCTAGTTGAAAGCAGCTATAATTTCCAGCTGAACTCCAGTTGGAAATTCAAACCCATTCCAATTGGGTAACATCTGGTTGGGATTTCCAACTGAGCCCTACCCTCCCTAGGTAGCATGAGCATATCATGAATGAAAAAAGTGTGGGGGGGGCATGGGAACTCTGGGACACTTATCATGCACTTCATGCATCTTTTCCTTTGTATTGATGCTTTTTTTTTTGTAAAGTGGGGCATATGCTGTGCCATGCCTTCATTCAACAATTCCTTCATTGAATTATTTCAGAAAGAAATCCAGTTTTTGTTCCCATCTATCTTGTGAGTTGTCAATCAAAATGAAGAAGACACTCTGCCATGAGTAAGCCAAGTTTTGTTATGAAATAACATTACTGATGAAAATACTTGTGAAAGTTCAAGTCTATAATATTGAAATTTTCACCTTCATTAACAAGGGTGCATACATTGAACACCATGAAGCTCTTGAAGTAATGACTATGGTCTATGAACAAATAAAAATGACTTGATTGCAAGTAAAGTATGGCGACTTGCATATTAATGATTATACAGTATTTGATGGATTATGGACCCTTTTTGGATGTAGGCATGTTTGGGGTAATCTCACCATACAAAGATTTGAAATAGCTTATGTGGACAGTATTTGGTGCATTTGTATGAGCCAATACATGAATATGTATTGGGTCATATATTTCCATTCTTATATGATTTTATATGACTTGTGTCAAGCCCCATATATATTTCTTATATGTTCATATATGAATTGCACTATATGGTCATGTATGCCCCATATATGTTGGACTGGCTATATATATGGCCATTTCATGTATGATCTTATATGGAATTTTCACATGGGTCCAACTATCACTGCTCCACTCCCCCTCATTGTGGTAATAGTCTCTTTTGAATTATTACCTTAGGATGCCCTCAGGCTCATGATACTATATTGATATCATTCATAATGTTAATTTTAAAGTATTACAGGCATAGTATAGCTTTGAACACTTGGGTACATTTCAAATTGTGTACCTAAGTTGGTCGCTTTAATTATTTTATTATTTTATGCTCAATATTTTACTGGTATCTTATCAAAAAAAAAGGATAAAGCAACATGAGAGCATGGGGAGATCTCAGTTAGCTTCTGTCTCCTGGATTGGGGCATTTCTGGCAAAATGTGAAAAATGTGTGGGGAAAAGTTATAGGCACATCAGAATCATATACGCATCCTGTCAGAGTAGCCTATGGATAGGGGAAAAGTATGGATATTGATTATCAATTAAGGTTGGGTTTCCTTCCCTGGATTGGTATTAGAGGTTTACCCTGAGAGGCTTACTCAAGGCAGAGGCAGATTTTGATCATATATGTACATCTTTAGGCATCTGTTCCAGCACACACTCCCAGCAGCCATTTTATTCTCTAAAATATTAATTTATTTATTCCCATTCTCAATTGGCAGTGAAGTATGACACTAAAATGGGAGACGAGGTACCATGGTCTTCACTTCAATTTTTCACTTGTAAAAGGGGTGGGTTAAATGGGATTCATTTCCTTGATACATGAGGGGGTAGATATTTAAGAATTTTCCACATCTCATACATGATAGGAGCATCTAGTATATCATAATTGTACTCATCAAAACAGGGTATTGTTGCCATGTAATTGTTGTCTATATGGTTACTATTTATAAACAACTTTTTAAAAATTAATTAATGTCTTTGACCCTAGGTAATGTCAGACTTAATAAAATTACTTATCTGCATTTTATTGGCATCCTTTATGAGATAGTTTAGTAGCAGTATTGAATCTGGCCTATAAATAGAATAGTGAACTTTCTTTACTGTAGTTTTAGGACTACTTGGAGCTGAAAACACCTCTTTCCAGCAGTTGCAGATTTGATCTCTGAATGAAGTGTCATTGACAGTATTTCATGCTCTTTTTCAGAAACAGTTTGAGTAATATAGTTCTAGTGCCAAATCCTACCATATGTTGCATGAGAATGTTGAACAATGGAGCTAGTGGATGGAGTAATGGTACCAAGAAAGTTGAAGAACGGAATTCAAGGTCTTCCTGTAATGGAAGCTTTTGGAATTTCCCATTTGCTTGCTTCCTGGGGAATCGGTCAGCAGCTTATCAGAAGGCACAAAACGATGCCAGGGAGCCTGTTTACTTGAATGTCTATGACATGGTAAGCTGACTGATATTTTCAAGTTTTCTTGTCATTCCTATAATTGGTGTCACTGGTCAAGGTCAAGAATTTTTAATTCTCTTGACCATGACCACTGGCAAGAAGGCAATATAAGCCTAAGGAAAGTGGAAATTTGTTTCTTGTCCTTTTCCCTAAGCTTGGTTAATATTCAGTTGTTTTTATTGTTTCATTTTTGGATTTCATAGAATCTGTCAATCTGAAAACTCCCTAGTTAATGTCCTATTCCTTGGATAGGACATTAATGGATGTTGTGTACATTTCTCAAGTTGTGTTTTTTCAGTGAATCTGAATGGAAATGTTAGCTTCAATGCTCTGTCTCCTTGCCTCAGGATAGGAAAGGATATGAAGCTATTCTAATAGGGTGATGGTATTTGTATTGGGTTCAGTTGCAATACCATTTTCATTTCCACTTCAATATTTTTATATAGAGTTTCAGTTGTCATGCCTGTTGTGAAGGATTGTGAAGGAAACACAAGGCAGTTAGTGTGTGTGGAATCTAGAGGCACCCTTGATGGAAAGAATAAAGCTTTCAACTGCATTGTCAAGCTTTCCAGCCTCTCTTTCTCAGCCTTTGGGACCCTCATTCACATCTTGAATTGACATATTGTTTCAAGTGATTTGTATCTGAAAACAAATTTCACTTGCTTCTCCTCTCATAGGGAAGATGGCAAAGGAAACCTTTAGTGAAGGTTATCCTTTTGTTTATTGTCAACGTTGTTTCATCTTGATATTCATTGCTACATGTAAATGTGTGACATTAGCTGCTAACTTGCTTGTTACTCCTATGTAGCCCTTAATATTTTATCAAATTCCATTACACTGGCTTCAGAACCCTTTTCTTTTCTTTTCAGTTCTGGATCAATGAATATACGTCTTCCCTTGGCTTGGGAGTTTTCCACTCTGGGCTTGAAGTGTTTGGATCAGGTAAGCCTCATGCCAATCCAGTCACTTTTCATTTCCCAATTATTTTACATCTCCATACCAAGATGGGCAAGCTTAGTCCAGTAGTGTGTTTCCCTTCATTTAAGGAGACCCTCAGTTTGTCACCTACTAGAACAAAATTCTTTCCAGCCCTCAACCATCAAAAATCTAATTTCTCAGTTAGATTTGGCAAATCGACTCATGGTCATCATGAAATGATGATGGTAGGATCGAAAGTCATGCGTAGTTTGATTCATCTGCCATGAAGGCTGGTAGAGAATTGACAGCACTTGCTGAGGACACTGCTGCGCCAAAGGCTATGGTCTTACTTGCATGCACATTGTGGTCCAGATTCTAAAGGGCTCTTAGTGACTCATGCTTTCCCCCCTATCCCCCCTAAGCAAATTTTAAATGCAAAATTTGTGATACAAATAGCAATTTTGGGGTAAATTCACCGCAAAATGAACTCAGCCTATATCTTGTTCATATCTACCTGCTTGCCAATTTTTGCTTTGGTCAGGGCAATAAAAAAATGAGTAGAAGCCATCCGTTATTGACAAATACGACAATGTTTTTCCAGCTGCCATCAAATACATGTGTCTTCCCAAGGGAAAAGTAAGACTGGTGTATTGTTACTGGAAATGCTTCAGGCTGAAACTTCTGCCTCTCTATAGTGATTTTCAATTGATTGTATATCTCTCTTCACTAGCAGAAGCAGGTCTTATGAAATTTCCATGTCTGTTCCTGATTTAGCCAGGCAGAGTTCCTTTGAGGTGTTGGATGTCACTCAGTAGGATGACATAGCACCATTCAGAGGGGGATGGAATCAATAAAAAATCACTGTACATTTCATAATTATGCTGTGATTCGAATAATGTACATGTTCCTTACAATTGAGATTTTTTAAATCCAACATGTGAATTAGTTATGCATTCCTCATGCCACTCAGTATTATCCCATGCCAAAAGTCCTACAATACACTTAAGTCATTTAGTTCACTCATAATGCCTACTGTTTCAGAGGATGCAGTAGCACTGATGAAATATTTGTTTCTTTCTATACATTTTATGTAGGTGTGTTATTCTGAGATTTTGAGTTCTTTTGATGCATGGAAGATACCATGTTTCACACGTGACTAGTGTTCCACAAAAATAAGTGGTCACTTGAGCAGGTTCTTGTTCCAGGAAAAATCACCAGTCCCCTTGAGTTCAGTTTAACGAGTTGACTGTACTTGTTTTCAAGTCCTTCAGTTCCATAAGCATACAGCATAATAACATATACAACCTTTCAAAACATGGTATTAGTAATCAAGTAGTATATGGCTTACTTCTTAAGAAATTGCATGCAAGCCATTATGTAGGATTATAACTAGAGATGCAACGATATTTTATCGGTTATCGGTATCGGCCGATATTAGGTGAATCCGATATATAGGCCTAAAACAATATATGACCTGCCAATAACCGATATTGAAATTACACCTGAAGTATGCCAAACGCTAAGTATGTAAAGCGAGTGATGAATATTTTCACCTTTTTCCCATTAGACAACATTTCACTTGACTCGAACACACGTTCATGGGACGTTCCTCATCCATGGGTGTCAAAGTCAAGTGAAAAAATGTCCAACTCAAGTGAAAACACTGCAGAAGGTTGAAAATGCTTAAATGACCCGTAAATAAAAAAAGTATTAGGCTACTGAAAATATAAGCATATTTCCCCTTTGCTTTGGGATTCCCCTGGGATTCGACCTTAACTGCCGCGGTTCCTCAATGTCCCACATCTAGAGATAGGAGCGCTCTGTGCTTGGGTACTCCCTTCCCAAGCACGCTGGCACTTGAACTAGGAAATATGCACTTGACTTGGCTAGGTTCGAGCCCAGGCCACCCTGTCACACGACATAAGCTCATTACCCAGTCACCCGAGAGAGAGATGAGAAGTGTCATCTACTTAACTCGGCCTAATGCCATTACCATAGCCTACTTTCTGCGAAAATAGACATCGCATATGTTAGCGCGAAGAACCCAGGCCTAGATGGATCCCAAAACCTTCGTACAAAAATCACTAGACTATAGTCTGATTTCAACTCTTTCATGCCCAGAGGTTCCACTTGGAACCACCGATTTAAAAAAATGTTATTTGATCGTTATCTGATCATTTTTAAAAAATGTCATTTGATCAGTAGACTGATGGCGCATTTTGAGCTCGTACCCATTGACCGGTGCCGGAGCCGGAGCTGATGATGATTTATACTAGGGGTGGGCAATTATTTTGGCTAAAGGGCCACTTCATGAGTTTTGATGAGCTTCGAGGGCAGCAAGCGTACGTAAAGAGGCAATTGCATAAAAATAGCTCAATGTAAAGTCTTACACTTTTATATATGTAAAATGAAGAATATAATTGACATTTATTGAAAACTTGGCGAAAGAAAAACAAATTATTGAGCAGACATTTATTTATTTATTCACATATTGATGAGAATGTGAGAAATTCACTCAATGGGAAAAATGAAGGCGCTGATGTGCATTAACCAGGGAATTGAAATCAGGCGTCATCTCAGTTGTTGCAATGCGAAGCACTGCCGATAGGTGGTCATCGGTCATCGCAGATCTATGTTTTGATTTACTGAATTTCATCACAGAAAATGTCTGCTCGCATATGTATGTTGATCCAAATAGCACGAGCATCTTCCGGGCATGAGCTTTAACTCTTGGAAAGGTCTGTTCATTGAGGGAGTCATAAAAATTAGGAAGCGGCACTGATTTGAATTGCTCTGCAAGCAGTGCATCGCATTGCAGGTCGATTAGCTCGAGTTGGAGGTCAAATGGGGCTTTGTCAACATCAAAGGAGAAAGGTGAGGAGACGAAAGACAGGTCATTTTCGATCATTTTGAAGTCCTCGAATCGGCGAGAAAATTCAGCATGCAAGTCGAGCAGGGACGACGTGTACTTTTTCAGGTTTTGATCACAAACAGTAATCTGCTGCAAAGTGGGAAAGTGGGGGAACTGTTTCATTCCTATCTGACGGGAGAAAAGGAGTAATTTCGTCATAAATGACTTGACACAGGAATACAAATCATGAGCAAAAAGCCCCTTCCCTTGCAGTTTTGAATTCAGTTCATTCATGTGCCCCATGATATCAACGGCAAATGCAAAATCAGAGAGCCAATCCACATCATTCAGCTGTGGGAAATCCGAATCTTTTCCTTTCATTTCCAAAAACAAAGCAATCTCTGCTCTCAATTCCCACACTCTTTTCAAAACTATTCCCAAACTAAGCCATCTTACATTGCTGTGAAAGAGGACATCCGTGTGCTCGGATTCAAATTCCTCGAGCAGAGTTAAAAATTGCCTGTGGTTTAATCCTCTCGCTCGAATGTAGTTGACCACATTCGTAACTGTGTCCACAACATTGCTTAGTTTTAGAACACTCTTACAGAGGACCTCTTGGTGTACAAATCCATCCTCAGGTTGTGGGTGTGGATGACATTTAGAGGAGAGGAAAGGAAGGGGAAGAGGACCTAATTATGACAAACAAGCTAGCTCAGCAGCTGTGCGGATTAAAACTGGCACTTTCTGGAACTAAAAGAACAAAAATTTTTCCCTTTGCTAGACATAATGGCGGGCCGTATTTTGCCCACCCCTGATTTATACTCTATAGATTGCGAAAGTAACGTGAAATCGCATACGAATTCAAATAGGCCTATTTGGTAGCCTTATGATACTAATCAATGAGTCTCCTGAAAACGATAGAGACCACTTTTCCAGCCTGTCTGTCTGCGTCCGTCATGGTTACCTATTGCTGATATGAGGGCTTAAGTGAAGCTCTCAAGAAAAAAGATGTGATGGTTACACCAATGAACTTTATTTTTATAGGGATCCACTGCAGCTTTTTCACATAATTATTTTAAGATGCCATTCTCGATTTCAAGTTCATTACATGCATACTTTTACTTTAAACTGAAGTTAGGAGTCAAGAGACAAGACTTTCAAAAATGCAGAGGAATGATGGAATATTTGAAATTTCCTTTTGTGGTCTCCCCAAACAAATCCCATAATGACTCTACCTTTATTGTATTAAAAATTAGGTTTAGTGGTTGTAATGGATTGTCTTCTATCAAGTGATGTATACAACCTTCCATTTTTGCAGAATTTGCATATGGTGGGCATCCTTTCGGATTCTCTGGTATTTTTGAGATCTGCCCCAAGGATGCTGAAGAACTTGGTGAACAATTCAAATTCAAGTAAGTTTTTTGTTGATGAGTTTCATGCAAAAATTTGCTTGGCATGAAAGTATTAATGTATTTAGGATTCTTTGCTTTGAGTATTGGTGTGTTCAAAATTAGAACAGGTAGGTATCTGGTAAGACTTATAGAGGCCATCATCCTTGCATGAAAAGTTCTATAGTTTCCTGTCAATTTGAACAGTCATTCAGGTGCATCCAAGAACTGTCGAAACCCTCTACTTTCTTCATCAGTAGGTTTCATAATAGCATTTAGCAGCACCAGCCTAGTCATAATCTCCAAAGTTTGTCTCTCCAAAGCATGGCTTGGTTTTTGTGTGCCTAGTCTCATCAGTGCTTCTTTGATCTAGTTTAGGTATCTGCCCACTTGTAACACATTTGATTTAAATTTAGTACCATCCACAATAAACTTAGTTGAGAATTGGGAATCTGCAGAATACATTCTTATTGTCTCCTTTGGCACATTATACAGATGAGGTGGTTTACTATTTATGTTGTTTGATTTCAATTTGACTGATTACATGTGAACTGCCTTTGTGTAAGGATGCAATATCTCATGACCTTCATTTGCATCAATAAATACTACACTTAGTGAAATAACCTGATGGTTTTTATGAGTCTGTTGAGTGTAATATCACTTGAGATATGATCCAGTTGCTAGGTAAAGCTGTTTGTCTTTTGTTGTTGGGAGCATTTTGAATGGAGTTGTAGAATTGTTTGAAAGGAGTTGCATGGCTCTCAGTGTCATTTTTATCACTTTCCCTCAGTTTCTGGGAACAGTAGAATATGTTTAGATTCTGGCATAATTATAATATTAAGTTAGGTTACCCCATGCTGCTCAGAATGTGTCTTAATCTCATTGCTATTTTGTGCTTTTAAGATGCTGGCATCACTACAGAACAATTCAGTGGCAGCCTGGTAGGGTATCTCATGAAGAAGTATTCTGTACCTCAGAAGTTCTTGGCATTATAAGAAGAATGTTTGCCATATTTTCCCTTGAAATTTTGAAGTCATGGTCCTGCATGCCAAGGACAGTGTAAGTAAATCAATTCAAGGATAATATCTCATGAAATTAGGGGTAACCTGATATGCAGCTACAAATGCAAAAATTATTGTTGGTTAAATGACCAAATTGCCCAATTATCAATCAGAATTACACATTATATCATAACCTTGCCACATCTTGTGACATCTATGTATGGGCTCCATTTAAATATAGATGACTTGATCTTCCTGCTGATATTTATTGTCTGCATTAGGCAAAGGAGAGAAGGGAATAATTATGCTCAGACAATGAATTCGCCATGTCTGCTGTTTCTCCAGGGAAACTATTCTCATGGGATATACAGACTTCACAGAAGAAGAAGTGAAGACAATCATCACAAACCTTGGAAAGGAGTTTCGTGGTGACCGCTATCATCTCATGAGCAAAAATTGTAACCACTTCACCAGTGCCCTCACTCAGGTAAGCTCTGTTTTATGACTGATTTCACTCTTTGCCATGTTAGTTTCAGGTGACCGTGACTACCATAGCTGAATACTTATGCTGTAATTGATCACATCAGCAATAAATGCTCTCTGAGAGTGAGGGTGAAGATTCTTTATCCCATTACCTTTGGAGAATATTAGCTTTTTCTTCTCCATTTTCCCCCTCAATGACTGTGTTGTAATTGTACCATTGCTTCATGCTTGAAGACTTCCAGGATAATAAAAATGATCTTGAATGGTGTAGTTCCCTCATGGTTTGATGTAAGCCTTTGGAGAATGTAAAGTGAAATAGGAAATGCCTTTTTTTTTTAATTGATTGCTATTTTGTGCTTCCTATTGACAGTGATGTTACAGTATGGAAATTTAAAGTGTTGGAGGTTTTCTATCTTAGATCAGATTTTAATCATGATCTCCATGATGAAAGTCCTTCATGTTTCACCTATTTTTCTTTTAAGAAATTGTGGTTCATTTGATTCAATTTCTTGTGATTGGAGCCCCGTAATATGCGACAGAATGTGTGCAAAGCATATGGAACCTAGCTCTGTTATTTCCATTATTCCTCTGGTAACAGATGAAATCCAAGTAGAGCTTTTTGAAAATGCTTGAAGTAGATTGATTATATAGAAATATCCATTTATGTTCAGAATGGCAGATTTTGAGCATATGGAAAGTCTGAAAACAAGCTCTTTGAAAAAGGAATATAAAATGTTATCAATGCTGCAAACTACACTTGTCATAATGGAATAATAAAATTGTGATGTGCCAAATATTTAATTAGGGTAGGTCTTATTCATTGTTTGGCTCATTCACAAAAATCCAAGCACTGTTCTTCATTGAATGGACATAATCTCTTCATAATGTAATTGTCTGATGTCAATCTGAAAAAAAAAAGTTAGTACCATCATTAGGAGTGTTAACAATCTGTCAGAACATTTGGTGAACACCTTTAGTAACTTGTGGCCATATCCATTTTATTTGAGGAAGCCATATTTATAAGGGTTTTTTTTTTGTGCAGATTCTAGTCGGAAAGGAGATTCCATCATGGGTGAATAGACTTGCACAGTTCAGTTCCTGTGTGCCATTTCTTCAGCGATGTCTCCCTCAGGAGTGGCTGACTCCTCATGCGCTTCAGCAATCGATACAGGCAAGGCCTGAGGACGATGGCCTCGATGAACCAGTTGTATGATGGATACTACTACACTCAAGTGTGACTGAAATACTTTGTGAACATGATTTCAAAGTGAGTCAGATTGTGAAGGAAAAGTTTTGTTTCTGAGTGTGTGGAAGTGAAGTATGGACAGTGATTTCCTGAATCCTCTTTCTAATATCTGTTAGGAAGGTTCTTGGCACCTTTCTTCCCCATCAAATTCTTACCTTGATTGTTTCTTGAATCTCAGTTGTTGATTCTGTGTTATGATATTTCTGTCAGCAAAATTTGTTCAACATTTTGCTGAGTTTCACTACATAAGTTTGGAGAATGCTGTTCAAATATACACTTTGAAATAAAAACTACAATTTGGTTTCTGCTTTGCATTTAGTTGAGTATTTTTGCTTGTGTCTTGGGACCTTTCCCATTTATCTAAAATCATTCCTTTGCTGCTCCTTCAATATTTTTTTTGTCCTTCTATTCAATGTCATCCTCACTGTTGCTGTATCTTGCTGCATCTGGCATACATCAAACTGCTGCTCTCTATTCTGGTCGATATAGATATTTAGGAAGGCCAATTTTTACTCACAGGTATTGAGCATTCAGTCCATGTGTCCTAACCAAAGTTATTTAGGTACTTCATGTCAAAATCGCAGTACAAATGTTCCTGCCTCTCTGATCATTATTCAGCAGATAATGTACTTCTTCCAGATTTGCATCATGTGCACTTTCTCTCATGAAATTGTTACCAGAGATTTGAGGGTTACTTTAGATCAAGTAGATGGTCATATCATACTGGCTTATACTAAGATCTTTTATCACATGTTCAACCTCTTGTAACAAATGTGCAGGTGTCCATCTTTTTTTTTTACTAAGGATTTGACCAATGTTTGTAGTAGTTAGTAGTGGTGATATTGAATTCAAGGTTAGGATCAAAACTGTACCACACCTGTAAAATATGCTATATATGACTGATGTACCATTCAGAGGGAATTTAAGGAGCTGAAAGAGATACTGGTCCATCTGTTATATAGGTCCCAAACATGGAAAACTGGCATGCAATACATGCACAGACCACTTTTCCTTACACTGAAGAGAGCCCAGTAGTTTGTGGAATTTCTGTTTGTGGAAAAACTAGTCTATGCTCATAGGTCACTTTACATTGGGAATGTTCTGTCATTTCTGGGCTGTAGTAGTGAAGAAGAAAGGGGATCTATGTGCATGGATCTCTTTTTCCATTCTCGCAAAAGAGCAGTCAGCTGGAAGGGAGGGTCATTGAAATGCATGGACTTGAATATCTTTTGAAGCATGAAAATTTTTTTTTTCAGGGGCCAGTCTTGCTTTCAGCTCAATAGTATTGCATACTTCTGTAAACAAGTGATCAGTGAGGCCACCAGGTGTTCCTCCCTCATATCCCTTCAGCATGACCACCAACAGTGCTGCATGTTTTCTATAGTAGTGGTTCTCAACCTCCCTTTTACTCATAAAAAATCCATGTGCTCAATGGGCTGTGGCCCACTGGTTGAGAACCACTAATCTATAAGACTGAGTCTATTTATTCAAGCAGATAGGCATGAAAGATAATCATTGCATATTGCATTCAGTATTTCTTTTTCATACTTGGATGAAAGTAAATTGGAATCCTTGGAAGGGCTCTCAGACATAGATTGTTTTTGGAATCTTATGCTAGTAGCTTTAATGTTTTTATACAAGCATATCCATAGTATGAAATGCCTACTATTGAGATTAATCACCAATTAGCTGTTACACAGCTTATGTTTCACTTTACATTGGGTGCCTTCCGTCAAGGACAGGTTTCGGATGCTACCTTCCGAAATACTCCCTAGAATGCTGAGAGGATCTAGGTTTGGCTATAAGGTCTCAACATTCCAAGTATCAGTTATAATAAAATTTGTTTTCTCTGACCTGCATTTTTATATATTCATTCAGTAGGAATCACACCTGTAATGGAACTGCTCATTCCTTGATTGACCATGACACTCCTATTTCTTTTGATATGATAGAACCTAATAATCTTCTCCTACTTCTGTTATGATGTTTCAAGCTCCACTAGGTTTCATGCTTGCTACCACTATTGATACTTCTTGGAAGTACTTCTGTGCATCACCTTCTTCGAAGTAGACAACCCATGTATGTCAAGAGGATTCCATAGGGGGATGTAACTCTTGAGCTTAGACCAACTATCTTCTTCTGTCCCAACTTATCTCTCAGGAGCATTTGCAAGAGATTGAGCACCAGATATATTTGTTTCTGGGTTGTCATGGCATTGAAAGTTAGGGAAAGAAATTCAATATGATCTTATGCTGCATCTAAGGAGTGGGGAGCATTAGGGGATGCAGTTTGGCATAGTGGTAGATCTGCTACTGTGATTGGGTGAATAAGACTTATGTTTAAAACAATTCATCCATTGATGAAGTCAGTTCATTGGTAATGTTAGTAGTTGAATGAATATTGCTAACCCTTGGAAGATTGGGTTAGATGTAACCCCAGGGCCAAATATGGGCAAGTAAGAGTTCTGATTGAAGAAGCTAAATTTTTTAAGACGATGTATATTTTAAAGTGAGAAATTGTGCTGGAGAAAACCATGAAGCAGAGATGTAGAAAGTCTCCTTAAAACTATCTGCCCAAGAATGTGCCAGTTCACTGTGCAGCTTGTTGATTCATGTTATTCTCTGTCTTGAGACTGATACTGTTATGAGATCAGTACCACATCATTTCAGCATAGCCCAATGCATAGATGACATGTTGTCATGTTTGTTCAGTAAGTCTCTATCTGAAAGGTAGGGAAATGAAAAATAAATCACTCTAGACTCATCTCAAGGTTTCATGTGAAACTTCCACCATTTCTACTTCAAGGAGGGCTGGCTAACTACATGGTGTTTGGAAAGTAACTCCTTATTTTATAATTGCAATAACTTTTTCACTTTTTGGACTGGAACGCTGGTGTTTGTGCCAAAAGAACAAGAATTCAATGGGGTTTTATGATTTCATTGATTTGTTTGTTTGCATTGATCCCCCATGGTGTCAAAATTAAATATTCTACACCATGCACAATATGAGGTATGGAGGTCTTCCATTATGAACCAGAGGTGGTGGTGGAAGGAGAATGGCTTGGATGCAACTCCTAACCTCCTCCACCTTCACACCTCATACCGTGCAGCTACTTGTGTATGGTGTTGAAGGTTTAATTTTGACACCATGGGGGATCAGTGCAAACAAACAAATCAATGAAATCATAAAACTCCATTGAATTCTTGTTCTTTTGGCACAAACACCAGGGTTCCAGTCCAAAATGTGAAAAAGTTATTGCAATTATAAAATAGGGAGTTACTTTCCAAACACCCTGTAGTGCTCTTTGCTATAGTAATGCATCAAGTGGATGTAGATGATTGGTATGAAATGGGATCAATTGTCATATCCTAAAATGTCAGATGAAACCTTTTTTGAGTTTAGCTATTGATGATGTACCTACATTGAAATTACAGTACTTGCATAAAAGTCATTTTGATCCATGTTTATGTTTGGCTTAATGTGTTTGTCTTGTTAAAAAAAACAACACTGATGAACCTGCATCTGGAATGCATAAGACTGGAAACTTAGCTTCATAATTTTTTTAATGCATTTTCAGTATTATCTGCTCTAGAGTAATCAGTGCATCATTTGCCAAAGAGCAAGCACTGAGCTGGAAGGCATACAAACAAGCCTGGGTAACAATATTATTACCATTATGATGTATGCATGTTATATCCTATCCTACACAAATTTTTATTTTATTTTTTTTAAAACAAGGATGAATACCATAAGAGACTGAACACATAGCAGGGGAAAGGAAATCCTTATACATCCCAATAGGCATTGTCACACTTTCCCACTCTTCGTGACATATTGTATCCTGTTTGCATGGGCCCAAAGAAGATGATTCACTCTTGCCTGATGCTCTCCATCATTGCACATCAGGCCACCAGGACCAATGTGGCAGGTGCTATTCAGGCACACAAAACCCCTACCTCTCACATGATGGAAGGAGCCCAGGGGAGAGCAGGTAGTACCCTAAAGCAGTCAGATGAACTGTCAACCCAGAAGAATACTACCTGTCAGTGGTTGGATTCAAACCTGGACTTCCCACATGCTCGCTCAAGCCCCTACTCACTGAGCCACAGCAATGCAGTCTTCCAAAATTTCTGATCAACCTCAGATATACTATTATTTTTCCATTAATGTTTTTTTAAAAATAAAGTACTATTTTCAGTATTTTTAATTTATACCATGTGTATTCCTTCTTCCCAGTGTAAGTGCATGCCAGGCATTTAAACTGAAACTGTAAATTTTAAGTGTGAGAGACTAATGCCATCTTATTCAGCTAGATCCCACACAGCACTGAGTTCATCCCTGACATGTCTCCAACTGGACCCTAATAAGAGTTTTTTAATTGGGAATATCACAATATTATAACAGAAAGCGTATTTCTACAGGATTGGGGGAAAAAAAAACTATGGAACGCTCAGAAAATTGCCTCCTGTGGGCAATTTCTTTTCCCTGAGAGTAAGCAGAATATATTATTTATGGCCAGTTTGACTATTCATCTACATCTCAGAACTGCAGTCACTCAGTCCAGGTGTGAACTTTTGGTTTCCCAAGAAAGTTATGTTGGCTTCATTTATTTTTCCTCAAAGCTGACACCCAATGACTTAGGGTGGGTTCTTGTACTCCCTTTTAGCTGCTAACGGGCTTTTAATCCTATCCTGGCAATGGACCTAAAAGGTCTTTTAGGGCTAAAAGGGAGTACAAGAACCCACCCTTAATTTTTAACCAAGAAACAACATTTCCAAAGATGGCAAAAGGAACAATGCATCTTGTAAGTCTGAAAATGGAGCATATTCAATTTTCACCTTCAACATTGCAAAACCTAGGTTATATTACAATCTGACTCAATGTGATTCCCATAATCTGTATTTTTGAGAAGTGCCATTGTATGCTATATGAATGTTAGTCAGTTTCTCCAGTTCAATTTACAGTCACCTGTGTAAGTAACAGTTTCTTGGATTTAACATGAACTAAACTTTTCCTTCTCTACCTTTGATGCTCATGGCAACAGTATTCATAATTCATTGCAGCCATGCTTTTTTAACTTAAGCATTTTACAGTAACCACCTTCCTAATATTCAGGAGGACAACTTTGATCACCCTACATGCTTAACAGGTAAATAGAAATCTGGAAGTGCTGCTCCTATTTTTTTAAATCATGGGCTCTTCTCTTGTATCTTATTAATGTGTTTTACTCCACTATTAATCTGCTAGGCATTAATTTTTTTATTTAGAGGATCTCATGTTATTTATGATTGAAAAAGTACTATGGATGTACTGCTGTGTTTCTGGGTCATTTAAAAAATCCTACGAAAGTTTTAGCCTTCAGATTTGATGATTTTTAAATCTCCTTTGGATGGACCATTCATTGTACATTTGTTCCCCACAGATGTCTTCCTTATACAATGTACTAGTTGGACTTTCAGCCGGTGTCTTTGGTCTGTTCATCCTGCGAAAATTGAGAGAGCGTAAGTGGAAGCAGTGCAAATGTCCAAATCGTATTAGTGGGAAGTGCGTCATAATAACAGGAGCAAACTCAGGCATTGGAAAGGCAACTGCAAGGGAACTAGCAGATCGAGGTGCTCGAGTCATCCTGGCATGCAGGGACCATGATCGAGCACAAGAAGCTGTTGTCCACATTCGAAAAAGCACAAGCAATGGGGAATTGGTAAGTTGAATCACAGGCAAAGCCAGCCCCCTTACATCCCAATGTCAGATGATATTTAAAAGAAGAATAATTGAAAACCTTAAGTTTAGGCAAATATGGCCCTTTGAACAAGCTTGGTAAAGCCCAGTTCAGTAACAACCTTCCTTTGGGTTCATTGTCATGTATGGTAAGGAAGTTTGATGGAGGATATGAATAAGTAGGAAGAGAATAGAAAAAGATGCTTGGAAAAGGTGAGCTTGTGATGGTCATTTCACCAAGTATTGACCAAAACTCAGAATCACAATATTCTCTGAATCAATTTCACTTTTGAAGCATATCATTCAGCACCAATTTCATTTTTCTGCAAGGGTTATCCATTGCAATAGGTATTATCAATGCTTCCAAGAGCCTTAAGCTTCCAGAAAGCATGAATTTCTGATATTCACTCTGTGACTGTTCTCATGTGGCAGATAATTGATCTGTATGAATACAAAATTGAGTGTCATCTTTGTATGCCAGGTGGTTATGAACCTGGACTTGGCCTCATATGAATCAGTGAGGTCATTTGCTGCTAAGGTCATGGCTCAAGAAAAGCATCTGGATGCTCTCATTCTTAATGCTGGGATTGTGATCCCCATGAAATGGGGTGTCACAGGAGAAGGTGGTGTTGATATTCATTTTGGGGTCAATCATCTTGGACACTTTCTCTTAACCAATCTACTTCTTGGAAGACTGCAAGAGTCTGCATCCAGCAGGTTTGTTATATCCTTGTTTTCTCCCATTTTCTTTATGTATAAATAGAATTTTTATGCTTTGACTTTTGTCAATCCTACAGAGTTGTTGTTGTGTCCTCATCCCTGTATATGAAAGGGAGGATTGACTTTGAGAACCTGACAAATAAGTCTGCATGGAACAAGCAAGATTGGCCCAATATGGGTTACTGCAATTCCAAGATGGCAAATGTCCTGTTTGCAAGGGAATTGGCTAAACGCACACGTGGTTCTCAGATCTCAGTTAGCTCTCTGTGTCCTGGTCTTGTATATACAAATCTTTTCCGTTCTACAGCATCAACCAAGTCCTTCTTTCAGAAACTTCTCTTTCTCCCTGTTGCTCTATTCTTCATGAAGTCTCCATGGCGTGTGAGTCTCACAGTCTTTCTCTACATCTAAAAATGTGCACTGCTTGTGGGAAAAAGCAGATTAGTAAGTTTAAGCTATGTAATAATCTAGACTCTAGCTGGTATTGTGGGTAAAACTTTAGGCCTTCCTGTGGTATTAGAATGACATTCTTTTGACATGTTTTGTTCAAAACTTGTCTGCACCCTAGAATATTGTAATGCTTAATCATTTACCAGAATAGTTTAAAATTTCCTGGCAAAAGCATGTTATTATGAAAGTTCAGAGTATATAGGAATTGGAATTTTATGGAAATAGAGTGTGGCTTCTGTCAGCATTCACAAAGGAATCTTTATTTTCTGTTTATTGGATTGCCATGAAAACCCATACTGAATTTCTTGGACTGTCTCCTTGTCCCCTTTGTTTTCCCAAGTAGTATGCATAGTATCTGGGTGTATGAGGACCAATTCCAAAGGTTTTTGCTATCAAAGAAGTGATACAGAAGAGGACTTCCTCATCTGTATCACTTTTTATTGACACCATCCTAGATTCATATGTTATCAGATGAGTCTGGTATTGAATTAGCTATTGAGACTTGTTTTCTTTCAGGGATGTCAAACTGTGGTCCACTGTACTCTGGCCAAGGAAGTGGAAGCATCAAGTGGGAGTCTCTATAAAGATTTGAAGAGCATGGAAATAATTGACTATGCCAAAGATGATGCAATTTCCAAGAGACTCTGGGATATCAGTGAGGAACTGGTTGGACTCAAATTATCCTAATTTCATCAGGATGGGCATTTCACAGAGCAGGAGCAGTACTATCTCAGAGATAGCAGAGAAGCCTTGGAGATATTTCACCATTTTTCATGCTTTGTAGCAGTTATTCTTCAGGCAAATGAATGATGTCTGCAGCTTGATTCCACTTATATTTCATGTTCCCATTTTATAGCCACTCTTAGAAACTTGCAGAGAGCAATATTTCTGTGATTGACTATATTGAAGACTGTATTGCCAAACTTCTACTTTCACTCAGTCACAGAACCCCTGCATGAGGCCATTGACAAGTGAGCAAGAAAAAAATTGCACCTCGTGTTGATTATGTTTATTCTTCTGACTGTGTCTACCAAGGTCTTTTCTTTTGCTTTTCTTATCATCCCATTTGTGATATGTTTTGTACCTGGTCTTCATTCCTTCTCTCCTCCCCAACCTCACTGATGATTTGTAGGTCATTGCTTGAAAATTATCATGAGTGCTGAAATTTTCTGTAGCAAAAGTTCTCTTTTTTCAGTTCCAATATTGATTTGCCTGTGTGGTTGCTGCATTTCACACAATTAGTCAATTTAATTTTCTCTAAAAACATCTGCTCTCTCATGCAAAAATTATTTGCATTGAATAAAAAACGCAGAATTGTGATGAAACCAAGCTTGCATTGCGAAACTATTGCTAAGCCTGTAATCATATGGAACTGACTTGGATTGGATTGTAATGCAAGAAAACCTAAAAGGGGAATGGAAACAGGGATTTGCTAATAAATTTTACTGACTAATCGTTTGCATGCCTGGGGTTGAAGAGTTCAATGGAGAAATTTTCCATTTCATTTAGCTGACAAAAGTTGCTTCTATATATTTTTCCATATAATTTAGGGAAAGCGAAAGCCATTCAGCACTTTTCTTTCAATGTAAGGCAGTCACAAATAAAGGTAAAGTAGTTGTGAAGCTGTGCACCATTGCAAGTCATTCATGGCTCAATGATATGAAGAGTTCAAGAAGGGGCAAGGCATAGACTAAGTGAATTTATTTATTCTGTCCCTATTTAAGGGTTCCCTTCTGGAAGCACAATACTCATAAAGGTGAAGAGGGCGCATGAATGTTGGCCCCTTTTACAGCATTCCATTATCACCCAAGCATCCCTTGGTTTTGTCATTAAAAAGTTAACCCCTGTGTCCTTGTACTACACACGTGTTTTATTTAATTTGCAGGAAGGCCTTAACAGATTTTGCAAAAATCAACAAAGGTGATTTTTTAATCTTATTTTTTTTTTCAATTTTAAATATTCTTTTTTTTATTTCTTGCTTGTTTTGTTCTTTTCTATGCATAGTTCCTTTCTTGGCATCTTCATTATCTATTGTTTTGGTGGACACTGGGACGTTGTAGGCTATATGTTCTGGTACATCGTACATTTAAAAAACCCTAGCTTCACCATCTCCCTTGCACATTGCTTCAATCTTTTGCCAGATTCTGTGGTCTTTTTCTGTCTTTGGCCCCAGATCCTCCCGTTCTTGCTGTTAAAAGACTTTGTCCCACCCATATTCCTGATCATTCATGGTCTCATTTAATAAGAGAAAAACAATAATAATAATTGGAGGCGTTGGAACGACGTCAGTGAGACAAAAAATTGGAAACTGCTTGTCTGTTGGTTGGTGAGAAATTGTTTTCAAAAGATACCTGGGAAAGCACTATGCACTTGCCTACTGCCTGAAGAGCTGCAAAACCAGCATTGAATTGTAAAAATAATGGAAAGATATGCAGCAAGGGAAAAAGCATAAAAACCATGAAAAACCAGATACCATGGTCAGAATGCTGGTTATAAAAAGAAGTCAGACCTTAAAAAACAATATGAATATCTACGGGGATATTCTTTATCTCATTCACCCTGGCTGAGAACCCTACCCTACCCTATCATAATGGATTACTTACATGAAGTTTCAAATTTGCTGCCAATTATTATTTATTTATTTTAATATTTTATAGCTATATAATTTTAGCGAAAATATGTATCACTGAACCTGTTAAGAGGGGTGTCAAAAGTACAAAAAAACACTAGTAAGAAATATAGCCTTAAGTTTGGTGTGTCAGGAAACGGCTGGGCCCTGTATGGCAGGTTTTTTTGGCATTGGGGAAAGGGTAACAACACTTTAGGTTAGGATAGGCATACATTTCCATGCTTCAGGCATGTCTGAGTACCGTAACATGTATAAATATAGAATTAAGACCCTCAAAGCCACCGCGAGTACCACACTTAAAAAATAATAGCATCGGAGCACATAAACATGGGGAAGATGACTGCTCCAATTCTACTCAATGATAAGCAGTGGCGTAGCCAGGATTTTGCCTATGGGAGCCCCCCCTCCCATAGGCAAAATCCTGACTACGCCACTGCTGGCAGATGCATTTAGACCAGAGTTGGGAGGGGCTGAAGCCCCCCCCCCCTCTCGCTATGCCACAGACGGCTTAAGACGAATGGAATTAGAGAGCAAAAACGTTAAGTATTGATTGCGTGCATTGATTCCTCAACTTGCTCAATTCACCGTCTCGGGCACTTCGGGATTTCCTACCCACCACAGAGTCATCCAAGGGTACTCCTCGAGGTCTTCGAGACATCTCAAGGACGGTATTTATGCATTTTTAGTCGTATTCTCGATATCCCAAAAGGGGATGCAATTGAGACATTTTCAGGTGATGTTTTTCAAGTCAGGATAAATGTCTATTGCATGCCAAATTCGCGTCAATTTTTTATGTCTGCGTTTCATACAGGGTCTGCAAGCATTTTGGCATGAATGCCGACAATAGTCCGTATAAAATGAATGTAATAGCAGCAACAACAAAAAAAAGTTTGGTATCATTTTTTGTAAACTCGTCGCTTGGGATATAATTACAAATATCTGTTCCATGCGGATTTCTCGACAATTTTGTCAGATTTCGCGGATAAAGGCATTAGGTTCGAACATGGTAACGTACAAATGCCAAGCATTCTCGAGCTCTCCGTCAGAAATAATTTTTTGCAGCTAGGAAACAGTTCTTTTACTTCTGGAATGCTTAATTGTATAATAATTTATTTTCTGGTGTCCGAACCTTACCACCTTACCTTACGTTTTACCCTACGGAATCATTGAGAAATGTCGATAATAGATTGCAAAAAAATGGATGTAAAATGAAAAAAGAAAGAAATTCCATGTAAGTGTATATCAGTGTAAATATGCTGCCTGGGATGGTAATGGTAATGGCTTATTATCAAGTTAATCTTGACTCGAGTAAGTCCGTCAATTCTCTCGATTAAAAAGCCGCAATGTAAGAAAATTCCTGGTCTATACAACATAATTGTTATCCGTTAAATTCTGAACGTCTCGATCCGCATTTTAGGAAAAAAAAAATTCGGATATAGTCTAGTATTGCCTGGAAGGCATTTTATTTTAAATCGTCGAAATCTTCGGACATCGGACGACCCAAGTCTCTTTCGGAACCCCGCAAAAACATCAAAATCATACGCTTGCCACGAATATCTCCGCGAAATGACAGAGGCCGCAAAGGCGACGATGACGTTTCTCGGACCCTCTCCCGGAGAGAAATCGCTCTTAAGAATCCGCAGTCGACAGGAAGAGCTTATACAGGGTGTTCGCATTTAAACGCAACATAGGGAAATTTCTGCCGCTTGTTTGTTGAGTGATAGGGCATTTTCCTGGCCCAAATTAATAAAATCTGATTTTTTTTCCATAATTCTAATACTTTAGCCATCAATTACCAAATAACTGAACTTCAGAAACCTGCAATTACTCTAAAGAAAGCTGAAGCCTTTTTCTAGATATAACGCCTTAAACTTAACGAATATCTGACAATCTCTCCACGCCCTAATTTCTTCAGGTTAGAAAGAAACCGCCTTGTCCCAAGAAGAAACCTGATTGACCTGTTCGGACTCGAGGAAGCCTTCGATGAGTAAGTCCTTTCATATCGCATGATATGATATTCTAAGTTACATTATTACGAGCGCGGTGCCCAATTATCTCTAAACTAATCTTCCATTATTGCTCTGCCATATTTGTTGTGCGCTGCAGAAAAAAGGTGAGGGAAGTTTGGGCATTTCTGGGATCTAACGTTAGTATTTTTTTTGTTGCTACTTTGACTATAGGAGTCAGACACCATGCAGTATCTACGATGTTTTCTTGCTCATGTATTCGAGGAACATGAAGAGTTCTTGACTCAAGTGGATAAGCATCAGTTGATAACTCGTGAGAAATATGGAACGCAAAACAGTAATTTCTCGTGTTCTGTCGATTACTTCCCGGAATCACCCGAAATATCGACGTAAACACGAACTGCGTTTCGAAATCGCCGACTCCTCATCGCGTCCCCTCGCGGGCGTTTCCGGCGCGGAACGTTGATGTTTCCGGCACGGAACGTGAAAACTAGCTGCGTGATTGCTGACTTAAAGAAAGATTTCATGCTGCTTCTACGATATACCTCTCACTACTTTTTCTGTATTTCTTGGCTTCTCATCGCATCGTGAGGCGATGCGACGAGAAGTCGATGTGAGATCATTTGTAACGGTGTTCTTCGCATAATTCGGTATTTCGGGCGATTCCCGAAATTACGGCGTGGAGAGATCCTCACATTTTCGTCAAGTTTACGACGTTCTGTCTAGAAAAATGGCCTCAGCTTTCTTTAAAGTAATTGCAGTTATCTTGAAGTTCAGTTATTTGGTAATTGATGGGATATAAGAATTACGCAAAAAAAGTCTATATTTTGAATTTTGGCCCGAAAAATGCCCTTCTGTCCCACTGTGCATTAGGCACAAGAACATCTCGAGCTTATCAGTTTCGTTCCCACGATCTCTTTCGTCTCCTCTTGCAACGCCCCTTTCCCTTCGATGAAACGCACAATCCAGTGGCGAAAAGCTTTCCCATCTGGGATGCAAACGGTCAACAAACCGATCTCTCCCATCTGCTTTCATACTCTCCGCCTAATTTCATCTCTTTTACATCTGATGTCTCGTCCTGCAATCGGTTTCGCTCCCGGTTACCGAACCGTTCGAAATTCCCCCGGTAGAAACCGGAAGCGCTAGTTTTCTCGTTTCTGCGACTGTTAGTCTTCCGGAAAAGAATCTAACGCGGCCGAGAAAAACTTGCTTCAGCAAAGGCAATACGTACCATGTCACCCCTTAAAATTCATGTATTTTTTCATTATTTATTTATTTATTTATTTCTTTCTTTCTTCTCCCAAACGATACAGGACACATTCCCGATCTCGATCCACTTTCATTCTCACTTTCGTAACAGGACCATCCCGCTGAATTTCCTTTTTTCTTCACCCTCGGTGCCGCCCTACTTTCATGCAGTATTCCGTCATTTTTCTGCCTCATTTACAGGCTCTCATCCGAGCTTCCAAGGACTCATCTCGAGAGGGTATTTCCTTCTTTTTCATTAGACAATTACTCTGCTTACTGGAAACATCAGAGACAAACGACAGGAAAGGACCACTT